CCCCAGTACTGGAAAAAAAAGAAAATAGAATTTGCTTGGAACTTGAACGCATATGTTTTTGCTGGAAAGTTAAGTAGTCATTCCAGATGGATTCCTCCATGAACCATAGGTGCAGAGCCTTCTGCGTAGTGGGGCACCATTCTAGGTATGGGGGATATGGTAGTGGCTGGTGCTTACGATCTGCTAGCAGAGGCTGACAGTAGCTAAACTAATAAAGAAACATAATACAATGTCAAATGTAAAGGCCGGCCTGATAGCTCACTGGACTAAAGCAGCCACGGTTCAATCCCAGAGCCTGCTGTGCTGGCCCCACCCCAGGGCCAGCTGAGCTGCCGATTGAGAGTAGGTGTGGTGGCACACGCCTATAATCCTAGCATTTGGGAGGCTGAAAACAGGAGAATCACTATGAGTCCGATCTACGTAGTGAGACCATGAACACCCTGTAGATCCTGTACTAAATACAGAAAAGAAAGAAAAATTAATAAAATAAAACGTCAACTGTGCATCTCATAATCTGACATCAAACGGTGCTGTGAAGAAGAATCCAGCCAGACAGGAGAGGTGTGATGGGGTGCGTGATTCACAGGGGCTAGGGGTCTGCCATCAGATTGTCTAAGAAAGAAAACTGCCCAGGGCCTGGGGCTACCACCTAACAGAAGCCCAAGAAGCAGCACCAGATCCTCTGTGCCCTCTCAAAGCTTCTGCTGAAACTACATGTCCGCTTTATCGTTGGCTTCACCTGGTGCCGGGCACGTGTGTCCCTGAGCAGGCCTTGGAGCTGGGGCTGAGCCCAGGCCCCTCAAGCTCCAGGCCGGCAGCTATGGAGGGACTCCTGAGAAGAGGGAAGCTCCCAGTCTTCTAGGTTTCTGTGGCTCCCGCAGCCACTACCCAGACCCTGGCTGGAGCTCGGACTGGCACCCACGCAGCCTGACTGACCCCACCCACCGCCTCACCCCCAGCCCCAGCCGGTAAATCGTCCCTGAATTAATCAAAGCGCTGCACTGGTCCGAACTCACCAGGGGCCTCCTCCAGCGGCCACTTTGTGTTCAGTAGATTAATTGCAGCTGGGGGAGGGGAGGGAATCCATTTTTAGAAAATCATTACTTTCAGAAAGAGAGGGGGGCGCTTAGGGCTGGGGGGAAATTGCTGAGCTGGCAGCTCGGGCCTGCTGCTCCGCGCCAGGAAACTGGGGACTGTACAGGCTGCTCCCAGCTCAGCGGGAAGGCGGCGGCCTGGGCCCTTGCCTGGTTCTCCTGAAACCAGAGCTCCTATTTGCTGGTCGCTGCTGCTGCCCTGTGGTCCCCACATTGGGCTCTACAGATTGCTGGCGTCCTGGCAGAAAGGGGTCACACCAGTATTGAAGAGTCCCCCACCTCCGTGGCCTGTCCTCCCACAGCCCCACTGTCCCACCACAGCGCCCTGAGGCATGGTCAGCCCTGCCCACAGCCGCAGGGGAAAATGAAAGTGGGGAGCCATCTCAGATGCTTTCAGTTGAGCATTTAATAGATTTAACTATAAATGAAATTTAATGAGATTTAACTATAAATGAAATGGCCATTTTATAGGTCAAAATAGGTATTAGCAATCTCGCGGTTGCTAATGGGACAGCTCTTCACATGTCCCATCTCAGCCCTGTGACGTGGGTACAATGGCTTCCTGTTTTATGTTTCAGAAATTGAGGTTGGGCCATGGGTGACAGTGCATACCTGTAACCCCAGCACTCTGGGAGGCTGAGGCAGAAGAATCAAAAGCATGAGCCCATCTTGGACAACCCAATACATTTAGTTGTTGTTGTTTTTGAGATAGGGTCTTGCTATGTAGTCCAAACTGGCCTTGAACTATGTAGTCCAGCTTGACTTCCAACTCATGGTACTCCTCCTGCCTCAGCCTCCCAAGTGCTGGCATTAGACGTATATGCCACCACCACACCCGGATCCTGTCTCAAATTTGTTTTTGGTTTTGGTTTTTTTGGTGGAACCAGGGATTGAACTCAGGCCCTTGAGCTTACCAGGCAAGCGCTTATTCTACTGAGCTATCTCACTGGCCCTCAAATTTTTAATAATTAAAAAAGATTGAGGATGTAGCTCAGTTCAAATTCCCTGGGTTCACTCCCCAGTACCATGAAGCAGAAGGAAGGAAGGAAGGAAGGAAGGAAGGAAGGAAGGAAGGAAGGAAGGAAGGAAGGAAAGAAGGAAGGAAGGAAGGAAATAAATTGAGGTCACAGATGACTTGAGTACTTAAATATACGTTTCTAATTCCCAAGAAATATGCACATCTTGTTTCTTATCAGACCCTCTGCCCAACCTGTTACCAGCACACCTGCAAAGACAGTCAAGAATTGTGCATCCTTATACTGCTTCATTGAGAAGACAGACTGACAAATGCTGTGGTGGGCTCAAAGTCGGGGCTTCACTGCCCTGTCAGAAAGCCATGGTTAGCTGCGGGCCTGGATGTAACTCCATGTTGGGTCGGCCCTGTGCAAATGACCATACTTTCTTCTTGGAGGACCTGGCTTTCCTTGGGGCAGGCAAGGTCTGCCGAAGTCTTCTGCAGTTGTGGGACCAGGTTGCGTGACTCTGTAAAAGCTCTTGGTGCACATGAAGGTTTATGAATGTTGGGCATTGTTTCTAGTGCTCAGCAGTCAGATAAGCTCTGGCCCTTCCAAACCAGAACTTGTTTAGGAAAACATGCACCTCACTCAGTCACCCCTTGACCCCACCCTGCCCGGAGAGATTAGATAGCACAAAGGTGATGAAATCTGACTTGGACACTTCCCAGCTGGGGGAACTTGGGCAACTCTGGATGTCAGTTTCCTGGTAGGTGGGGGAATAGGTATAGTGTCTACCTGCAGAGCGGTTGTAAAGTTGCCATGGGAGGATCCCAGTATGAAGTGCTTGGAACCACCTAGTGCAATCAGAACGCAGTCACTGTGTGATCTTTATATTATTTCCAGCCTCGTTCTGTCTCTCCCTCCTTCAGAAACAGCCCAGGCCCAGCCCAGGCCCTAGAGGGATGCTAGAGGACTAGACCTACTGTGGTTGCCAACAGTAGAGTTGGGTACAGCGACAGCACGGCCTCTTCAAGCAATGTGGAAAGCCTCTGGCGAGTGGCAGTCTTCTGCTAACCATCCCTCCTTCCTTGCCCCCAGCTCACCCAGAATCAGCATGCCACCCCTACCCCAGGAATCCACAGGCTCACACCCCAATTCCAGAGTCCCTCTACGTGCCCCAGAGGCCCAGCTCCAGCAGTGGGGCTGGTGCTAAGAGGGGCCTTTCTTCTCCCCATGTCAGGGTCGTGGGGCTGCGAGCATCTCTCCTGCAGACCTCCCTTACCACCTCCTTCCTGGCTGTGTGACCTTGGGCAGGTGACTTAGCTTCTCAAAGCCTCCATTTCTGCAGTGTCCTGGAGGATTAAGTGATAATTCCCCTCACAGGCTAGCAGCATGCCTGGCACCCAGTGAAGCATTCAGTAGAGGGTAACTGTTATTACTGAGGAGCTCCCTGGCATGCTGATGCAAGTTAATGCAAACTGAAATGACTCCACGGCCTCTGTGTTAACACCTACCATCCCCACCCCTCCTCCTCCGCTACCACCCTGTAGTTAATTAGAACCCTCCTCAGGTGTTTTCCAAAGATCAGATTTTACACTGAGTTATAGAATAGAAATCATAAAGGTGGATTTCAGTTCAAATGACTAAAAAGCCAAAAAAAAAAACCCAAAACTTTGAGATGTAGTGAGCTCCTCATCGTCTGATATGAGCAAGTCCAGATGATAATATGGCTTCGATATTCCAAAGCATAAATCAATATGTATTCATATTTTGCTGCCCAACTGGATTATAATTCCCCTTAATGAAATGGTGGTGCCAGTAGGCTGTGGCACTTTGTGCCATGACTTGGCAACAGTTGGCAGCTCTACACCAGCCCCTCAAAAGTTTTAAAAAATGGGGTGCCGGGGAGATGGCTCAGTGGAATAAGAGCTTCCCTGGCAAGCACAAGGGCCCTTGTTCAATTCCCGGTTCCACAAAAAAAAAAAAAAAAAAAAGTTTTAAAAAATTTGTACTAGAGTCCGGGGGTGGTAGCACACACCTGCAATCCCAGCACTTTGGGAGACTAAGGCAGGAGGATCTCCATGAGTTCGAGGCCAGCCTGGACTACACAGCAAGATCTCATCTCAAATCAAAAAGCACAATTTTTATTAATTTTTGGTAGAACCGGGGATTGAACTCAGGCCCTTGGGTTTGTCAGGAAAGCACTTATTCCACTGAGCCATCTCCCCAGCCCCCCCAAAAAGCACAATTTTTACTGACTTGTGCTATGCGAGATTTTAACCCTCATTTCAAAGAATCCCTTTCCCAGGTTCCAGGGTTCAAAAACCCTGATACAGGGCACCCTACACCACATAGCCTTCAGCTTGGTCCTCACAACACAGACCAGTGGGCTGAATACAGGGATCAAACTAAGCAGACACTGACAAAAGGGGAGCACTGGGGGAGCAGTGGAGGTCTGGCAGACAGGAATAGCACATGGGGATTGGCTGCAAAGCAAGAGAGGAAGGGGGGTGGGCAGCCCAGGACACCTGTCTCTGAATCCAGTCTCCCAGAACTCCCCTCCCATTGATAAAAAGCAGTAGCTCAGGATTCCAGGCCCGTGAGGAGAGCCAGAACCTGTGGATCCTGGTTTGGGGGCCACTTACTACTTGCCCACGCATCGCTGACCAAATCTCATTCTCCCCAGGTGACATGCCCCTTTCTCAACTCAACAAGCTTTAAGCAATCAGCCTCAGGGCTCCCTTCGCTGGTCTTGCACTGGTTCTGTACTTGGCCAGCATGGCCCTGGGATCACCACCTCCCAGGGGGGTGGGGAGTGGTAGTCTGCAGGGTAGGGCTGCCCCAGGTGGCTCCTGAGTGGCCCCCCCAACTCTCATCCCCCCAGACTTTTAACTGCCACTTCTCCCCCTTCCCCTCCAAGCAGAAGAAAAAGGAGCTAGAGGACATGGAATCAAGTATACATTTTAAAAATTGTTTAATGGAACATAAACTCCTTTAGAAAAACATTCAGCTAGGTGATAACACCCATAGAAAAAAACACCAATCTTGTGTTTATCTTTTTTAATTTGGCATTTGTTATTTGCATTTATATTAAAGCAAAGTGCATCTTTTATTTTTCTTGTTTATACACATTGCACAATACATAAATAATGATGCTTATAAAACGTCTTTATATTTACAAGTAATAATATATTTATATATAACATAAAATACATTTTTTTCTTTAATAAATCTCAGGTTTTTTTCAGGAGTCCTTTTTCTCTCAAAGCACTACAATGCTAAATTTCCAATGAGAATGCTTCTCTTGTTCATTTAAACCTTTGTAGTTAGAAAAATAGCTTATGTTAAAGTCTAAACATGCTCATTGAGCTAAGAACAGTGTCAAAGTATCATACGAGTGTATGAGTTGTAGAAGAAATGACAGAAGAGTTAGGAGTCAGCCTAGGGTGGTACCTTGGGTTATGATGGATCAAACTGTTCCTGGTGGGAGGAAAGAAGGCCCCTGAGCAGGCCCTCCCGGGTGCCCCCTCACTGGGCTGATCACAGAGCTCAGCACGCAGGCCCCTGCGATGGCAGGGGAAGGGAGGGACATGCTGAGCTGGCCTGGGAAGTCTGGGAGAAACCTGATAAACCAGGGCAGTGGGAGAGGCCGAGGACCTGAGACGGCACTGGGGGAGCAATACTGTGACGTGACGGGGCTGCCCCGGCAGCCCGCAGGAAGCCCATCTCAGAAATCCAGGAGCAGATGGCCAAAAAAGACAGACATTACAGTGGCAGCGGGGTGGCGAAGGGGAGTAAGACAAGGATGAAAACAATTGGTTCTGGTTCAGCCTCTACCAGGCTCACTTCTCAGAAGCCTGTGGATAGGCCCGTGTCCTAAAGGGGGTGAGGCGGGATAGGGGCTTCCGCAGGCTGGAGCAGAGCTTCGCTCCTGGCAGCTGCTGGGACACCTGCCACCAGCCAGGCCAGGTACTGCCTCTGCCCCATTGAGCATGTCCAAAGGGCACAAGAGACACACAGCTTGGAACCGCAAACCTCTCAGCTGGGGACATCCATAAGGAACACAAAGGCTGTGTGGACTCCCCCATCTGCTGTTCATGTACACAAACTCAAGACACGCGCTCACTCGAATGTACCCTCCTGACAAGTGAGATGCCGACCCCAATGTGAAGGGACTACTCCCCATTCAGACACTGTTTGGAGGTGCTCGCTTCTGCCTCCCCTTTCCCATGGGGTGACCTGTCCTGCCAACCACACATGCCCCTTCAAAAAAAACACAATTCTTTTCATAAGCTATTTCTCAAAGAACAAAACAAAAACACAAACAAGGACAAGAAGAAAAAACAAAGAAAAGAAAATACCCCACCAACAATAGGGGAAAAAATGATTAAAAGAGTTTGCATGAAAAGCCAGCACTCGGGAGGAAAAGATTAGCAGCAAAGTAGTTTGAATGGTGGCCTGCTCGGCACGCTCGGCCTCTCCCCAGTGGCTACCGGCTGTTGAAGATGACCTCCAGCCAGCATGGGCAGCTGCTGATGAACTGGCGGGTGTAGCACTGGCCCCAGCCCTTCACAAAGCTGATCTGCACGGTAAAGCCCGTCCACGGCTGCTGCATGAACTCGTGGTCGTTGGGCCGCTGCAGGCTGTACGCTTTCTCGTAGTCGAAAGCCTTGATGGAGAAACCGGGGAACACCTTGTGCACCAACAGCGTCCTGGAGTCCGGGTTGTCCAGTGTGGCGGACTTGATGAAGATGGGGTAACTGCTGCGGTTGTACACCCACACGCCATCCACCTCCCTCGTCAGCTGGATGCCACAGCCGATTTTGCTCCGCACTTTCTGCACCAGCTGACTCTTGTTGTCCGAATTGAGCTGTCCGAGGCAAAAGCCATTCCCCTGAGGTAGATCATAGAAGATATCCAGGGAGGGCTCCTGGACACAGTAGAGCCTCCCCACTCTCGTCTTCTCCTCCCAGTATGCCACCACGCACCAGTGTGACCGATCCCCAGGCTCCAGAAGAAGTTGGGAATCTAGAAAACAAAACAACAGGCAAGGTTACTGGCGATGCAGACTGATGGATTCCTTCTCCTCCTACAATTGAGGTACACACACCCCTATAACTAGTGTGTCGGTGGACCAGGACTAGCTACAGGCTCTAAAACCCTAACAGGGTCACAGAGTTCTTGATTCAACAAGAGAAGACTTCTGCCTTTCTCGAAATACGGGGCTCCCAGATGTGCTTCCTCCACTCTGTTATCAGGAATTCCAGGCATCAGCAGCTGTGGCCCCTTGGCCAAAGAAAAGTCCCATCCTTGCAGAGCACAGAGATGCCAAGAGTACCCCCAAGACAGCCTAGAATGATAGGTTTCCCACTGAGACGGAACCCTGAAGTCCAGCTCCTCCAGCCCCTTTTCATCTCAGAAAACAAGATGGGATCCACAAAGCTGGGGTACTGGGTGTAACCCAACCACAGAAGCCAGCCCATTCAGACTCTACCGCCTACTCTGTATCTTCTGTGCTTTTCACCAGAGATCTCCAATCATCTCCTCAAAAATGAGGGTGGTTTAGGGCAAAAACCGTCTGTCTATAATTTCCTAACAGAGAAACAACTCTCAATGTATCAGGAGCATGTTGGCAGGCAAAGGGTGAATTCATGTCAAAATGCCAAATCACAACACACAGGCGGGCACTAACACAGATGACCTTAACAAAGCATCCTCCAGCCCAGCCAGAGAGGACATGTGATGTGTCTAAGACAAGTAGAGATGACGATCCTCTAAGTACCCCTTTCTCCCCTTCTTTCAAGACTACCCTGGTGCCAGTCCCTGCAGCCCTGGCCTGGCTTTCCTCCTCAGCTCTGCACAGCAGCCTGGGGGAATTCTGAGTAGGTGATTTTTTGAAGCAGGCACCCTGAGGACTTTAAAAAGGGTGATCATGTGGAGGGGAAACACACACACACACACACACACACACACACACACCACATATGTCTTGCTGCCTCCTTAAGCTGGAGCCATAGTGGGTAGGCCTCAGACTGGGGACCATAAATCTCTCCAGCCCAGCCAGGCTGCAGGAACGCTGTGGTTTGTGGTGGCAGGGTGGAGACCGGAAGTCTTGTATTTGTTAACAAAGATGGGGAAAGGCAGGGGGGAATTGAGAGGGGAAAAAAGCAGACTCAGAGTTGCAGGACTCACACTGCACTCTCACTCCAGTGGGTTTGGGAAGACCCTTAATGTGGGGGTGTGGAGACATGTTTTGCTGTGGCCATTTGGTTTCAGAGCCAACAGGGCTCAGAGACTGCTGATGAGGGCAGTACCCTGCAGGACCCTGGTCCTGCCGCCTAGCAGGCTGGGTAATCCAGTGCAGCTCAGCATACAAATTCTTTCCAGTTCTTACAGGTATATTAGGACCTGGGAACTGTCAGTTCTATTACTCCTCTTCCCCCCTTTAAAGCAATACCCAGTTCTGGATGGAAATATAAGTCAACAAATGTGCACAGTGACCCACCGTGGCACCCCGGGTGGTTGTAGCCCGGACACCCTAAATGACCTTCCCAATGCCTACACAGACAGCTACACAGAGGGGACACCAAGGGCTCGTTATTTTCCCTTGATCTCCCACACAACACTGAAAATCAGCATCACAAATCTGGTGTGCCACTGTCCCCCAAGCCCTGCTGTATAAATTACAAGTATGTATAAGAGTAAGCTGAGTGTCCATGGTATAAGGGCATGGGTATGTGTGCGCACACATAAGAGCACATGGGAAAACAAGAGGGGCAAGGGCTCCGAGCCGGAGGTGACTCATCAGGCACTGACTTGTTTCTGCAAAGTGTCCATCAACTGCTAATAAACTTGTGAGCGCTGGCCATCTTTGAACTTCCCTGCCTCGGAAGCTCAGCTCTGTAGGCTACACCAGAGACCCAACCCATCCCTGGAAGTAAGCGCTTCAAGTGTGAGGGTGGCAGCTTCTTCTCGAAGAAGAGGGTCTGAACAACCCTTTTTGAAAGGCCAGAATCTCTGGCTTGTTCTGACTCAGGATAACAAATCTGGCCAAGAAAGAAAGACTTGGGGAGTGGTTGGCAGGCCCCGAGGGAGGCTGAGGGAGACCCTCTGTGGTGTGGTGGAGACTCACAGTGCTTTGTTTCATGGATGAGGCCCCACTGAAACCTGGCACGGGCTGGCAGGAAGGAGGAGCCGGAGGAGAATGGGGCACTGGTGGGGCACAGACCCAGAATCAAGCTGCCCTCCTGCTAGGCCTGCTGGCTCCTCAGCAAGGGGTGGGAGCCTCATCCATGAGGCAGGCTTCTCCAGGGGCAGAGGCCGATGGGTGAGGCCAGGCCCCAAGTCTGTGGGGGAGGGGTAGCACACGGGCGGCGGTTTCTCTTTCATCTGCACAGCCAGTCTACCCCACAATTTGCTGCCAGACAGCCCCTGGAAAAAGCCTTTTTCTGTTGAGGTTAATGGCCCAGCCCAGATAAACAGCAGCATGTGGGTGTCCCTACATGTGAACAAGATCCTGGAAGTGGGTGCAGTGCCCTAACACACCACAGGGAGGGCCCCCCCCCCCCCCCCGCAGGCCTCTCTACGGTCAAATGCCCCACAGGGCAGCTCCACCCCCATCCTCATCCCTTGCTCCTGCCCAAGGCTTTTCTGAGCAGAAAGCATGATCCAGTAAATGGCTCAGCAGCAGCGAAGAAGGCCGCTGTGGCACACAACCTGAAGTTCACATCACACCTTCAGAGCCCTACCCACACCCATTTGTCCTCAATTCCCCCCATTTGGGCTCATTTCTGGAAATCACCCAGCATTGTCTTCAGAAGCAGTTCCTTGAATTGGGTCCACAACCCACAAGCGTCTGCCCACAAAGACTGGGGCAGACCCTTTGCTCCTGGGGCTTCCCAGGACCTGTGGCCAGGGCCTAAGACGTGTCAGTCATCACAAAGTTGGGAGTCTGGAGTCCAACTCTGGCTTCCCATTGCTGCTGCTCTGGCTTAACCTCCCAAGGCAAAACTCACAGTCCCTTGTTAATTTCCCCCAGCTTTACAACGTTTTCTGGTATTTTGAACAACTTCTTCCCCTCCCCAGAAAACTGTACAGGGGCTTGTTTTAAAACTGTATGTGTTCCTTTGAAAGCATCCAAAAAGAAAAGCTGTGTTGTAAAAAGCTCACTAATCAGATGCCTGCTCACAATTTTTTCTTTTTATTACAGTTGAGGGAATTTTTGGAGCAACACCAGAAAAATGCTGAATCTGCCTAAAATTCCGTTAAGGTGTTTCCCCCTCCCCTTCCTCGTTTTCTTTAGAGCATAAAATCTTCCCTTTAAGGGGAGGGGAGGCAGGGGCTGAGGAGGGGAGGAGTTGGAAGACTCCTTCTCAGCAAAGGGCTCCCGGGAGCGGGGCTTGCTGCTTGCTGTGGGTGGACGAGGCTGTTAATTTCCCTGGTCATGAATGAACACGCCAGACTCTTCTGGACCCAACAGCTCAGGACTGTCTCTCAGGCCCCAGGTCTCAGCCACACCACAGGGTGACCAGACCCCAAGGGCACATGTTAGGTAGGCAAGGAATTTCCCCCTAGGAGGTGAGAAGAGAGGAAGAAGAAAAACAAAGGGATAAAGAAAGGCCAATATCAGGGCCTCCTGGGTACCATTTCTTGGGAAGTAGTAGTGGACCATGAAGCCAGAGACAGCTATTTTGGGCACACCTGTGGGACTCTGAGAACACGGGTGTACATGACAGTGCAAGTCCACACTCACAGAGGAGGTTTAACAGAGAAGTCCCCAAAATTAAAGCCCGGAGGACAAGAACAAGCCAGAAAAGACAGCCACAGTAGCTGGTATCCACTAAGATTGCAGTGCCAACAATTAAGCCAGGTGTGGTGGCACACTCAGGAGGTTGAGGCGGCTTGAGGCAGGAGTTACTAGTTTTTTGTTTGTTTTTGTGGTACCAGGGATTGAACTCAGGACCCTGCACTTGCCAGGCAAGCACTTATTCTACTTGAGCTATCTCCTGGGCCCAGGAGTTGTTAGTTTAAAGTCAGCCTGGACTATGTGATTCAAGGCCAGCCTGAGCTACATAGGAGACCCTGTCTCAAAAACCAAAACAAAACCACGCCCATCTGCAAGGGCCTGGGGGTGGGGCAAGCAATAGAGTGACAGATGATGTAGGAGGGGATTGTCACCCCTGGGCACTGGATCATAAGGCTACCAGGATACAGTGGTGTGAAGAGCAGGCCAGCCTCTCCAACAGTTTAGCAGGGCAAAAGCTCAGCATGGAAAAAAGGCCAGGCTAGAGGGAGCCTGGGCAAAAATGCCACCTCCAGTGGGCTTCTTCACGCAGATCACAGCAAATGAAGGCCAGAAAAGTGGAGACAAAGACTCGCACCCAGCAACCCCTGAAGGCAAACATCACTGTAGTGGGTCCAGGTTTCTCTCTTCTCAGGAGCTAGGAGCAGCAGCCCTGTCCTATCCTGTCCTTTCCTCCCTGTGCTTCCTTCTGCATCAGATATCTGGAAGGTGAACAGCCCTGGTTCCCCAGTGCCCTGCTGCTCACCCTGTCAGGAGGCTGACTGATCTCACCAAACTCCTTGGGGGCCTGCCCCTTAGCTCAGTTCTTTAGGGCTGGGGAGATGGCTCAGTGGAATAAACTCTTCTCTGGCAAGCACAAGGGCCTGAGTTCAACCCCCAGTTCCACAAAAAACAAAACAAAACAAAAAACACAACTCCTTCAACAAATGATAAAGAGCAAACTCTGGGGGACCTGGCACCCATACCAGCCTAGCCTCACCCCACATCATCAAACAAGGATGCCTGGCTTTTCTTTCCAAAAGTCAAAGGACTAAAAAGCAAAGTCAACATGCAAACTGGCGGAGGTACAGGGGCCATGCTTGCAGCCTCACTGAGATCACTCATGGAGACAGTGCCCAGGAGCCCAACAGACTCCTAGGGCAGCCTGGATAACTCTGGAGTTCAGAGCAATTTACCCAGAGAGGATCAAAAACAGGCTCCAAAAGCTTCCGATTGACTCTGTTAC